TTTGATTTAAAATATTTTCCGAAATAAACCTTCTTTACTTATTATTTAATTTAGGATTTAATTACTGAAATTTGTAATTAATAATTTAAAAATAAAATATATTGAATATAAAATAAAATATTGAATTAGTATAATATACAAAACGTATTATCTTGTTGCTTTATCATTGTATGTGACTATGAAATACCGTGGATAACAATATAGACTGAGATTACAAAATTCCAGATAACTGCGGGATGTTGCATATGAATCAGGTAAATTTCTAGGCAACTGCTAGAGAAAATCGATTATCATCGATGAGCTTGAGTGTATTCTGGATAGAAGGATCCCGGAAGAAGACTAGGTTTCACAGTGCACCAAACAAAGTTCCCATGAGACATCTGTCTCAGCAGTCCGCAAGATACAACACAGAAGGATATGTCCCTGATGGTCACATTAAGGACATCTCAGCGAAAAAATGGTTAAAGAAGTGCGTCATGGAGGTACTAGTTATTAGGTCATACGATATTCATAGGATAAAAATTTATACCGAATTAATTAAGTTTCATCGCACCTTATAATATAAGCGACAACACAGAAAATGACCGTACGACTCAAGTGATTCGGTAACTGCAGACCACACAAAAGCAATAAAACTTCATCACCGCTTTTACCTTGAGAAAATAGGACGTAAGTGATGGGGCTGAAACGTCTGAATAAGTACCTCACCTGTTAGACACATTACAATGACCCTTTATTAATCCATGTTTATTGCAAAAATGGCTACGAAACACCATTTCCAACATTCATGCAGTTAGTTCACTAAGAGCATGGAGGGAAGAAAGTGACAGTTTCCGGTTCTTGGACGAGCTAGTGAATGACCAGCAGCAGGGATATTCGCGACAACAGTGTATGGGAATTAGACAAGTACCGATCAGTACCTGCATTACTCTTCTTACCTTCTAGTAATCGTAAAGAAAGGCCTGTTGTCAAAACGCTTTTCTAAAGAGGACAGAATATTTGCATCACGAAACGTGATTTAAAAAAAATAAATCTCCGCACGTTGACATTACAAATGAACGGTTACCCGGTGAAGATGTACAGGTCTGGAAAAAATTAAGACTATTCTTCCCGCTGTTCATCTGACGGTAGGATCTACGGCACCTTACCCGATGATAGGACATATTTTATTTAAAGCCGGTCTGAACATTGTATTTCAATGCCGTGCGGTACTTTGCAGTCGCTCAACGATCTAAAGACCAAGAAATCTGTGCATCAGCATCAAGGCTGAGTGCACAAGCCCCCATTCGGGTACTTCACTGTACAACGGCAAAACGAACAACACTCTAGGTAGGAAGGAACTGCACAACAGAAACCTCATCAGAGAGAAAAACCCTGATACCAGAGTTTTAAGCAAGCAGGCATCGGACGCAGACAACAAAGGATCCCAAGGTTATAAAAGTGGAATTTGATATAAAAAAAATCTGCTATAGTACCACTGGGTGATATATCGGCACACCATTGAAAGAATCGGGAGAAAATGAAAGGAAAAAAGCGGTTTTAACCATAAACTTTGCAGTCAAGGAAACTCTACGGATCCGCGCAACGAGCTGCGTCACCTTTACGCAGATGTAATCGAAGCACGAATCAAAAATATCAAACAGTCGCTGACTGCCCATGACAACTGCAGCATTATCAGTCATACGGATCAAGCAGTCCTGCGTGAAAATAAAGCCGTGCAAACCTCCTTGTTATATTGAAGACGGACCGATTTGGTCCGAAACGTCAGTCTTCTCAATCGAATGTTTGTAACTAACAGTTTTAAGCACTTCCCCCGTTTAAGACTTTCCAAAACCGTATTTGTTGTATTTCAGAATAAATTATCCCTCCAACTTTAAAGCTGCAGTCACAACGCGAATATTTATTACGTCAGACATACGAAACGCGGATCGACAAAGATAATAGCCGTAACATATTTTTGGGAAATCGATTTTTGTCCCATCACAACGACGAACAAGTTTTGCCGATGAAGAACAATAGTACTGTAGTGCTTAACTGTTTCATACGAATCGAAAGGAAAATCAAAATAACAAGACCACAGCGATCAAATAACAAAACAGAAATTAAACAACTCGAAGAGTAGGGATAAAGTGAAAACTTTCGCTGTATATCCAACGTGTAGTTTCATCGGCATGATTGTTGTGGCACTCTGGTAGGGATTTTTGTTGATTATTTTGATGCTGAGAATGTCAGATACCATTTACATACTTTGTGGACTGCGGCATAGGGTTGCTGTGGCACAGTGGTAAAAATAAATGACGATCGTTGTCATGCTACTTACGGTCTGTTCTTCTTTTCCATGACTCTGCGGGACATTGGAAATAAATGTCATTAAATTCAGAGCCAATGCTTCGAATCATAGTACAGAGATCCTTCGTCAACGCAACTAACATACAACAGACATACGAATACACAATTTCTGACTGCTCTAATTCTGAATTTGCTCCTCTGTTCAAAACTGGTGGCATTCGGTAGGAGAGAAACGCGAATATGATTTTCAAAGGCATCAAATGAAGAAAAGCCAGTTACGCATATTCAACTGGTATATCAAACGGTCGACACTGCAACAGCAGTTTGCGTGTTCTAAAGCTTAGCCCACGGCACTTTCGAAGCATAATGTTGTACCTCAACTCTGCCCTAGTGAAAAAGTATCTGTGCACACTAAGGTCTGTGCCAGTGTTGCGCGGCTTGCGCTTGACGCCTGGCAGTCGTTCGAAGTAGGTGTTCTTGAGATCAACGTTGTAAAACATGTCGTTAGGTAGGCAATAAGAGAAATGATGAATATCACGTGCGCTGGCGTAGCACGGAAAGTAGATCTGTCGGCCAACAGTAGAGGAGATTGGTACATTGAAGCCACTGCACACATTTTCGCGAAGCGTCTGAATATCCATTCTGCGCTGCACTTCATCGGCAACTTCTGAGGGCACGAGGCGAACCGCTTCGCATAGATGCTTCGCCATTACCAGCCTGTCGACGGGCAACGCATTTGACTGCTTGCAGAAACGCCAAAGCCGAGACTCGGCTCGCTCTTCGTTAAACCCGTAATTACATTCAATGGACGTCGACGTTCGCTGAGTTCCTGAATTTTTTCCAGTGAACCCAAAACAACAAAAAATCTGGCAGTAATCGTATACCATGTAATGAGGAAATGGGTTTCTGTACACAGCTCTTCCCTTTCTCATTGCAATTCCTAGTGCTAGTGACAGTTTTATTCAACCCGTTAACGGCTTTAACCGGGGTACTAAGGGTCACGCTCTGCCGTCGATGATTTGGACGCAGTCGATTGGGTCGATCAATAATGGTCGAACCGACAACCTTATTCGCTGAGCTATTTTTGATAGCTGTGCGCTGCGTAATCTAAACTGGATGATCGATCAGTTACGTTAGTGTATCATGGTTACATCTACCTTTGGCCTTGTGCCTGCAGAGACCTCTTTTTTCTTGTTACCATTCTTTGAAACAGTACCGTTTCTAGCATGGGTGGGATTCCTTTCGACAACACGTTTCTTTCGCTTGGTTTTCACGTCGCCATATTCACTAGCAGAAGCGACACTGACGCGATTAAGTGTACCATTTTGGAGAACCGTCGGCATTCAGATGCCTAAAAAACGATTACAAAATTTTAGAGAACTATAGCTTTAGAGCTTGTACTAAACTACGCTATTGGTTATTGTCAGGCAGCAGCATAAATTTACTAACAGCACTCGAAGCTAGCAGTCAACAAAATTCAGGAGGCCACATCCTCCAACACCAAGCTTATCAGGACGATATCATTAAACATGTTATACTCTCATTATTCTCCTGATAAAAGCAATTTTACTCCTTGTATGACAGTTATTTTAATAACAAAATTACTTACATAGTGAAATATCTTCTCACGCTTCTCCACAGTTTGTAATTCAATGAGGAACCAAAGTATACCCTCTTATTTATAGGACGAATACGATCACAAGTGGAAGCTATTAATACCGCTTTACATAATGGGCCTAGTAAGTGAATTTTCAAGGAACTTCATGATAATCTGCATACCGCAACAGCTGTAATAATGAACCTCGAAATATAATGCCCGTTCTGATGGAAGAAGCTAGTGTTTGCTTCATCTGCGAACTCGGCCTTCCCTTATAGAAGTAAGAACAGATTGCTCAACGATTGGACCTATGCATTGTATGCACAATAAGACACACAAGTCTCACATCAGAATAACAGGTGTTTCTCTATATTCTGTACAAGTTTCAAGTACAACGCTATTGTTAAGCAGTCCAAAGTACAGCCACTTTACTGCGAAAGATCGGCATCGTCTCCTTAGCCAGTTTAGAGGGGAAAAGATACCCTAAAACTCCACCGTTGCCGGTCCCAATCCGGATGAGAAACGAAGAAAGTAATGGACGACGGCAAAGTTTCTTATAAAACGTAGTCTCTAACGGTATTGACGCCATCGCACATTATGCTGGCTCGGTCGTCGCCCAGATTACATTAGCTTCCGTAGACCGTTGAGAAACTGAGGCAGACTCAGAAAAGCTGGCAGTCATAACTAGTTTTACGTTTTCCGGCAACCGGAGGCACAATAGCATGGTGAAAATGGACAAAAAATCGACGCGAAGGTGACGAAGGTCGTAGTCAGCAGCGGAGACGCTACCCGTTCAGAACAGAAAATTTAGAGGGTCGTTGTTATTATGTCATGTCAGATAAGCTTCCATGAGAAAGACACTGACAGCAGGAGCTCACAGCCAGAAACTAGAACATGCCACTTAGAAGAAACGTGCACGAGCTCGTCAATAAGGCTGCAAGACACCAACCACCAACTGGATATACTAAAACCATTATCAACGAAACGCTTGGGCTCTGGAATTCTGAAACCCATCGGACGGAATCAACTAGGCAGCAAAAATTATTTCACTTTATTCTGGCTGATGCTACTGACACTCATTACTGGTAAAATTAAGAAAAAAAAAGAATGACGGATTTTTTCATCAACAAAATGACTTCTGTCAACTGACACCTTTCCATATCACAGCCGCAACGTCATCTGACAGCCTAAAACACCTCAGATTTCACTTAAACTTCACCAAAAATTAGTTCTGAAGCAGAAAAACAAGCCTCATGCTGCCATTCGTCCTATAAATTTCTGAAACAATAACGGGAATTTAAACATACGTGGCTTTAGGTTCTTTTATCCAGTCGCATTGCCGAATAAGTATTGTGTAACTAGCCTTCAGTTATCTAAAATAAACAAAATATGTAAATAAAAAGAAGCATAAGGATACTGATGAACAAGACAAAGTTCAAAAAAGTAAACATCGATTCAAACGTAAGGAAATTGTTTTAAAAATCTCACGGCGAAAAGTATTAGTTTGCTGAATCTTTTACTTGGCTTCGTTGGTCTAATATAATTAATTATTTTTAGCTGAAAATTCATACCTGGCAGCAAATATTTAAAACTGTTTAAAATAATTTAATCATCATCCTCAGTAATTGGTTAACTTCGACCGATTATACCTTTTATAAAGTGCCTGACGTTTCGAATCAAACCAGGTACATCTTCAACGATAAAACCATAAACGTTCGACGATCAAATGGCAACATTTTTTGGTGCTGCACTTAAATAAATCTGCGTGACATGGCCATTGAAAACAGACATAACAGTTATTCAATACGTCACAAATTTTTCTAGAAGTATTGTCGTGCATAGGAAAACAGGTATTTAATTCGTGGTTGTAGAACACATACCAGAATAAAATATTTCAGCAATATTTTCAAGATTGAGAGTCAGTCGTATCTACCTTGGTTTGAATTATACCCATAGAATGAACATGGCAAACAAGCTATAATCAATATAACAGAAATATTACAAAGTCTTGTATTATAATTTAACATAACTCCGCTTTTTGGGACCCAAGCTCGGATGAGAAAGGAAGATGCTTGTAAACCGTGGTGAACTCTCCGTAAAACTTACACGTGCCCTTCATGGTATTTTCGTCATCAAAAATTATACCGGCTCGATGGTAGCCCGGGTTACAATGGCCGCGCACGCTGTTGGAAAACTGAGGCAGACTGCGTAAAATCTGAGATCAGAGTTTGCCCATCGCCTTCTAGCAGCCACGAGTGCAGCAGCACAACAATGGCTGACGAAGATACCAGTTAGCAACGGAGTCACTAACCGTTCCGAATGGAGAAGGCAGACAGCGCGATGTCATTACAGCACGCCAGAAAAGGCTCCACGAGAACGACACCAACAGTGGGAGCTTACAATCGGAAACTGGAACATATCCTCACTCAGAGGGAAAGAACAAGAGTTAGTTGATGAGGTCATAACACAAGATTTCGAGATAGTTGGACTCTCGTCAACAAAACGCCAAGACTCTGGAATCCTGAACCTCTGCGGGTAGAAGCAATTCTACTCAGGTGTCGATATCACGACGCGCGTCCAGGCCGGTGCTGGTGTTCTGGTGGAACCTAACCTGGCTGAGACAGTCAGCGAATAGAAGCTTCTCAGCCAAAGGTGACAATCCTCCAAATGAAGCTACAACAGGCTAAAGCGTTAACCATGGTACAGGTCTATGCGCCCAATTTGGAGGGAGAATATACCTTACTTGAGGAAAAGGAGTGTGTTCTGTATGAAGTGCCTCTCAATATATATATATATATATATC